AGCAAATCGATGTCTCCCGGCGTTTTTTTATTCCCCCCCCCCCCCCTTCCTTCTCGTCGGTAGAACGAGAACACGTTTCCAAAGCGTAGATTTACCGTGAAAATTCACATAATAACGAATCATCCCCTTGTCGTATATCAGGTTCCTCCCCGGCGTCTTCCTGTCATCCGATACGTCGCGAGTCCCGCCCCGGCGAGCACAATGCGACCGAGCCACTCGAGAGGATCCAGCCCTTCGCGATGATTTCCTACCTGGCAGGTGCTTTTTATCTCGCCGAAGAATAGAAACTATCATTCCACGGAGACCGGCCCGAGAAATCCCGATTCAATCCGACGAGAATCGTCTTTCCAAACAAGATCGTGGACCGCGGCGGACGCAAGACGGTGAACCGGGGACGGGGAGCACCATCCCCTTATTCCCGGTGGAACGGGAATTCGGAGGATAAAACCGCGATTCGGAAGGGAACGGTTCGAATTGGGTACGGCACTGTGGCGGGCCGTTTCATTCGTATTCCCGCCAAGAGATGGCTGCACGATGAATGGAAAAAGCCAGTGTAGCCCTATTAAGGGGGCGGCGCGCCGTAGCCCTGTAGCCCCGGCAAGGCAAGGATTCATGGCTGGCTTGTAGAGGTAGAGAGGCCGAGAGGCAGACAGGTCGGCCCGACTGCGAGGATAGAGGCAGACGCTCGGTTAGACGGCAGAGGGGAAGCTAGATGGCAACGGTGAAAGAGAGAGGATCGAGGAGACGGGGAAAAGAAGGCGCGGGAGCAAGACGCCGGCTCGGCGGCTCGCGCGGTGGGGGCGAGAGGGGGGGGCCGTGGAAGGGGTACCAAAACGGAATAAAACAAAAAGAGGCAGCCGCGGAGCAAATTATAGGGAAAAATAGGGAGGGACGAGGCGGAGGAGGCAACGCGGAGCCCCGTGGTGCCCGTGGTGCGGCGTGTTCACGGTGGAAGACGATCAGGTGGACGGGCTGGCAGGGCGGGAGGGGAGGAGGGGTGGCGCCAGGGCAATTCCAAGCTCGCGTTCAACGTTCCCTGCTCGAGTACCGCGGATAGCCGCGAAGTTAGTGCGCAAGAGATTCAAAGAGAGTCGACAGAGTGACGGAGACCCGGCCGTCTCCTGTACGTCGTCCCGGTCGTTCGTAGTTCGGCCGCCGTTCGAGTGCGCCCATCAAAACCACGAGGAGAGGAACCGCGGCGGACCCGCGCGACCCCGCGACCGGCCCGCGACGAGCCCGCGACGAGCCCGCGACGAGGCCGCGCCGACGACCACGACCGACACGAACCGCTTTGATTAAAGGGAGAGGGAGGGACGGAGAGAGAGAGAGAGAGAGAGAGGCAGATCGACAGTGAGCGCAAGGGAGAGAGAGAGAGAGAGGGAGACAAAGAGAGACAAGTGCACAGTGCACGGCTCTCTCTTACGTGTTACGCGCGGTCAGTGCGAGAGGCTGCAACGTGCCGCGAGCATGCGTCTGCGACGGACGGCCCTTGAGGCGGATACGCAACACGCCGACTCGTCCTTGTCGTCGTGGTCTTCGTCGACGCCGTCGTCTGCGCCCGTGAATGCACGATCCTCGGCGTAACCACCCGGACAACCGCCGCATGCACGCGCCGACGTCGTCGATAACACGAGAAACCGGCGAACAGGTTCGTGGCGGTGCGCATGCCACCGATTCAGCCGAGACCGGTCTCGATTCCTAGCCGATCCGTTCCCGATTCTCTCGCGAGCGCCTGTCAGCTCTGTCAGCTCGCGCGGCGAGCCACGATCGCGCGCGGACCTCGCCACCGAAAACCACGCGGCTTCCCTCCGGCCGGACCCTCCGCCGTCGTTGTTTCGGGACGCGAACAGGCGCGTCGTCTCCTCGTTTCGATCGTTGCCCGCGACATGACGGACACCGGCCAAGGCCGTCGCACGTGTGTCGTCCATCCGAGTCCTCCGGCCGGCGCGGTATTTTGTGTTTCGTTGCCGATCAGTGCTGACAGGTCTGTGTGCACGCTCTGAGAGTCGCGGCGGTGCCTTTTATCAGCTGTGCTCTGTCGATCGCCGGGTTCGCTCCGCCACGGCCCCCACCCCCCCTCCCCCCTCTGGAATTGGCGCGCTTCG